AAAGCCAGCTGACAGCTAATAAACTGGCTGGCCCCATAGCCCCACAGCCAACAGCCGGCAGACAGACACCCTCAGCCCCACGCTCAGGGTGCAGCCAAGGGAGGATGAAGGGTGGAGGGTGGTTATCGCAGATGTTCCCTGCTCCTGGCTTCCTTCCCAGGCCTCACCCACCACTTTCTCCCCGAGGCACTTGCCCAGGTCACCCTTGCGGGGCTGGCACCCTCCCCACTAGATCCTGCTGCTCCATCCCTACTGCCCAGCCCTCAACCTCCATGGCTCCCACAGCCCCCACAAGCTCTGGCCCCTCCACTGACCAGCTAAGTCGGCTGACTCAGCTGAGCCATAAAACACACCTCAGCCTGGCCTAGACCCTCTAATGCCTCCCAGGCAGTTTCTACCAGAACCTCATCCCATCCCACCAGAAGCCAACCCGAACAATGAGGATTGGATCACCATTTCCAGAAAGGACAGAGGAGCAGTGGCAGAGTCCTGGCAGTTCACTGGGACCCCACCCCTCACCCCTATGCCACAGCCAGTGGTCACCTGACGTGGTCACCCCTCATCAGGCAGGACCAGACCCCACTAGGTCCCCTTCCTAGGACCTGATGTGGGGAGCCTTCCTTTCCTGCCAGCTTCCCAGGCCCTCCCTTCACTATACCCCAGGCACCTGGCTTGTCCCCCAGGGGTCAAAGGAGCCTCTAGGAGAAGACAGCCCACAGTCACCCCACAAGCCTGAGGCCAGCAGAGCAAGGGGTCTCCTCTGAACAGGATGCAGAGCCCCCCCCATCCTTGGCTTCTTTTCCTCATCTCTGGGGTAGGCAGAGGTCATCAGGTCATTTGACAGCCCCCTGACCCTGAGGCCCTCCGCTGCCTAAAGCCTAGCTTCTGCTGCCATGGGGACTGTCCTAAAGATGAGGAAACTGAGGCTGGAAAGGCAAGGGGGGTACCGAGATCACACAGCTAATCGCAGCTGACCCAGACCAGTTCACACACAAGGGGCCTCTGGACCAGCAGAGGGTCTTCCAGAAAGCCCCGGGGAGTGGCTCCTTGCTCCTGTCATCTTAGGGTCCCTGTTGCAGAGTGGCTCTTCTCACTGGGCAGTATATGGAACACCCTGCCTAGACACACACCTCATCCTGAGCCTCCCCTCTGACACACAGAACTGGGCAGAGGAACTGTGGCTTCTGAGTGTACCTCACAAGAGCCTGGCAGTGCCCACTAGGACTGTTTGGGATGCTGCCCCTTGGATGTGCCCCTGGGATCCAGCACCACACCAGGAGAAGCCCAAGGCCCCCAAAGGGTCCTGTGCAGGAGCCAACAACCAGGCCTGGCTGCCCCGGGTCACCACAGCCCCACCAGATGCCAGACCACAACTGTTTGGAGGTCAGCACCAGTTGCCCAGCACCCACCTGAATGGTCCTGGATCTGTGTGCTCTGGAACAACCTGAGCACCTATGGCTGACACCCTCAACCTGTGAGTCTGCAGCAGTGGCAACCTCCCCACAGGTCTGAGCTGGTCCACAGACCCCAAATACCTCCATGAGGTCCCTTGAAGTGGATGGGTCCAGCCTACCTGCAGAGAATATGTGGCCTGCCACAGCCAGAAATGCGTCGGTCACCACAGGCTCAGACTGCAGGGAGATGTGCAGCTGGCGAGCCACGTTGCGGTAGACACCGGGCCGTATCAGCTCCAGCTCATCCCCTGTGTGGCCACAGAAGAAGATCAGAGGCCACCCCCACCAAAGCCCCCTCAAACACGACTAGCTCTCAGCCGCCCTCCCACCTCAGCCCCTAGGGACATGGGTATTCCCAGCCCCATTCCTGCACTACTGCCCCTCTGACAAGCCAACCCCCAGGGCCAAGCCGGCTAAGCCGGTGGGGCAGGAACCGTGTGGCACAGACAGACTGGGCCTACTCGATGACTCATGGCAGACAGGCCAGCGAGCTGCCCGGGCAGCAGGAGAGGCTGGCAAGCAGCCAGAGCCGGCCTGAGGAGGGGCTACAGACCCCACTCTGTGGGCAGCCCACAATGTCATGGAGGGCAACCCAGCTCAAGTCCTACGTGGCTCAGGAAATGGCTAAAGGGAACCAACTCAGAATTGCTAAGCCACTGCCCTGGGCCACCAGCACCCCCTACTCTGGATTCCTGGTATGTCAGTATGGCCCTCTGCAGGCTCAGGACAAACCCTCCCCCAAGCTGCCTGCCTTGGTGGTGGGAGCAGTGTCGAAAACCTCCCATGGCTCCAAGAGCGGGTGTCCCCAGACTGACTAGCTCTCCAGCCAAGGCAAACAGGGAAATACTGCTGAGCCGACAGTCCTGGCCGATAAGGGTGGCAGAGTTATCCCTGAGGCCAGCTGCTCTCCATCTAATTAACAAAAATCTGGAGCCAGATTTTTGGAGCGGTTGGGGGATGGCGTGGAAATTCCCAGGGCTGGCCTGCCTGTTCCCAGAGAGACCTCTGGGGCCACTGTGGAGACACAGACAGGCCTCTTCCTGTTTGCAGCTGCCTAAGCAGCACTGAGGGCACAACAGAGATCTGGACCCAAGCGCCACAGGGTCGGACCCACCTCCCTCAGGGTAAAGGAATTATCTTCACCAGGGGGCCTCTAGAATGTACCCCCGGAGTCATCCTCAAAGCTAAAGAGACTGCTAGTGGGCAGCTGACCTCACAGAGTCCCCTTATCACACCAGGCTCTCTGGACAACTGACCAATCCCAAACCTTGCTTGGCCCTGCCCCTCTCCACACCTGGAAGCCTCTCCCCTCTTTCCTCTGATATACCTCCTCCTGGAATCTGGTGCTGGCCCAGAGAATCTGTCTCCACCCCTCCCCTGCTCCTGGGGTGGCCAGGTCTACATGGCCTTGCTCCTCAGGACCAGCACAGCATGCAAGTGCCACAAATGCAGGGTCTACACTAAACAAGGGCAGGCACACACCACTGTCAGACAGAGGAGGGACGGCACCCCCTTTTACAGGAACACTCCCTCTTACCCAACTCCCCCACACCCCGACTAGAGAGACATCCATTCCAGGTACCATCTTTGCTGCCACCTTCCCTCCCTGGGCAGGGCCACAGGCAGGCTCGCCTGTACCCACTCTGGGTATTCAATAAACATTCACGGATGAATGGCCTCAGTTGTGGTAAGGTGAGCTGGCCAGAGTCTCCCTCTGGGGTCTAGACCTTGGAGAGGACAGAGACAGTCACTGAGCTGCATGAGACCCCAGCTGTCTCCACAGGACCACCCAAATCCAGAGACTCTACCTACCCCCTCCCTAATGGTGGGTGCAATTTCCACAGGCGGGGCCAAGAAGCTTCCAAATCAAGAGGAAAGTGCAGCCTGGCAGGGCCTCAGCCTGTAATCGCAAGGATTTATTTTTCAAAACAAACATCAGGACACGTGGTCTGACAAAGGATTTTTGTGCTCAGCTGAGTACAAGGGTCACTCTAGAAATTTAGCCGCGGAAACATCTTTTTTTTTTTTTTTGAGATGAGTCTCATTTAGTTTGGGGAAGAATGTTTGAAATCTGGGCTAAGCAGGCAAATGGGGCAGAGGTTGGGGGCCTGTGCACGCCAGATGGCCTGTCCTGCACTCCAGCCATTGCAGGCAGATTTGGGACACCCCAGGGCTAGTCCCCCCCTCTCTGAGGGAGACCAAGGTCCAGCAAAGGAGGGTGCTGACCCCATCTTCCAGCCAGGGCAGCTGTATCCGAGATATAGCAGGCCCGGGCCACGCAGGCCAGGTCTGGCCAGCTCCAGAGCGGCAGCCTGCGGACCACACTCACCCAAGCGCAGCAGCACAGTGCACACCTCTGCCAGGCGGCCGCCAAGGACCAGCGCAGCGCGCTCAGGCGCGCTCCAGGCGAGGCCAGCGCGCAGCAGCCGAGCGTGCACGAACTCCCTGCCCAGCGCCTTGGCCTGGGCCACCAGCTCCTTGTCGGTGGGCGAGCGGTCAAAGGCATCCATGATCTCCGCGGCGAGGACTGAAGAGCGCCGCAGCATCTCCATGGCGGGGACGCGGGCGAGGGGTGCTGCACCTGCGGACAGACAGCCTTCGGTCGGGCCAGCCCAACCGCACTCCGCTGGGCCCGGCTGCGGAAGGTGAAGCCGGCCCAGTGAGCCACGAGGGCTAGCGGCTGGGCGTGGGAGACAGCAGCCCCCAGCGCGTGCGCCTGGAATGCGCCGGGGCGCCTACCGGGGCGCACCGAGAGGCTGAGTAACCTCTAGCTTTGGGGCCCTAAATCGTTAAAAAACAGTCTCACATTCTTTCAGAATTCAAATTAAATCCCAAAGATCACCACGGCTGACAGGGATTGGAGACACCAGGGGAAATGGTGATTTGTTCTGGGCCCAGCGGGCCCGCCCTAAAAGTCAAGCGCGCGAGCAGCAGAGGCCGGGGCCGAGGTCACAGTCAACCTCCTGCCGGCCAGCGACAGCCAGAACCCCCGCCCGGCCCCGTCTGGCCTCCGCCCGGCTGACGAGCGGGCGGCGCCCTGGGGGCTCCGAGCGGGGCGGCGGTTCCCGGGCTCCGGAACCACCCACATCCGCACCTAGGTCTCAGGTATCTGTCCAGGCCGCGTCGCTCCTGCGCATCCAGGGAACCGACGCCCGGTCCGGCCCGCTCACCTTTCCTGCCGCATGTCGCGAGCGCAGGACTGGGAAGGAGTTCTGGCTTCAGGCTCTGTCCACCGCGGTCTCAGAGGATCTCGACCCTTCCACTCAAACAAACAACGACGCGCGCCCCGCCCGGCGCCCGCCGGGTCTTCGCCTGAGCCCGGAGCGCCAGGTCCGCGGAGTTCCCGCCCTCTCGGAGGCTCCAGCCCGCGGCGTCGGGGGCCAGGGCGGCGCGGGACTCACCGCGCGACTCCCAGCGGGCGAGAGGCAAGACTTGGGGCTTCACCTTCTAAGGAAAAGGCAACCCCCGGGGGCGGAGCCTCGGAGCCCCGCCCGGAGCTCCCCCCACCGCCTCCGGGCTTAAGGAGGACCGAAAGAGTTCCCGGGAGCAGGGATTCAGACCGGCCACCTGCCTTGATTCACGCCCGGACCCATTTTAAACTTGGGTTGTCTTTTTGTTGTTGGTTTGTAGGGGTTTACGTAACCTGACACGTGCCTTTATAGCTAGACAGATCCACTTGGATTGCTGTTTATTTGAAAATAGCAAACATCTCCTGCTACAGTTAATCCTTACTTTATGGTTACAGCCTTTT